GTTTTTTTTTTTTTTTTTTTTTTTTTTTTTTTTTTTTTTTTTTTTTTTTTTTTTTTGCAGCTGAATAATACTCCATTGCGTAAATGTACCATACTTTCTTTATCCATTCTTTGGTTGAGGGACATCTAGGTTGTTTCCAGTTTCTGGCTTTTTCTAATCAAACTGCTATGAACATAGAATGAACAAGTGTCCTTGTTGTAGAATGGAGTGTCCTTTGGGTAGATGCCCAGGGGTGGGATAGCTGCGTCTTAAGGTAGATTGATTCCTAGTTTTCTGAGAAAATGCCAGGTTGATTTCCACAGTAGCTGTACAAGTTTCTACTCACTCAGCAGTGGAGGAGTGTTCTTACTCCACATCTTCTCTAGCATGAGCTGTCACTTGGGTTGTGATTTTAGGCATTATGACATTGTAGGATGGAATCTCAGAGTTGTTTGGATTTGTGTTTCCATGATGGCTAAAGATGTTGAACATTTCTTTGTTTCTTGGCCATTTGAGATTCCTCTGTTGAGAATTCTGTTTAGGTCTGTAGTCCATTTTTTATTTTTTTTATTTTTATTTTTTTATGTAGTCCATTTTTTAATTGGATCATTTGTTTTGTTTTCTTTTGATGTCTAGTTTCTTGTTGTTTATATTTTGGTTATTAGCCATCTGTCAGGTGTGGATTTGGTGAAGATCTTTTCTCATTCTGTAGGTTACCATTTTGTTCTATTGATGGTGTCCTTTGACTTATAGAAGCTTTTCAATTTCATGAGGTCTCCTTTATTAATTGTCAATCAATCTTCCTGTCTGTGCTATTGGTGTCTTTGTTTCAGGAAGTTGTCTCCTGTGCTTAGTGTGTTCAAGGCTATTTCCCAGTGTATCTGGTTTTATGCTGAGATCTTTGATCCACTTGGACTTAATTTTTTTTTTTTTTTCGTTTGTTTGGTTTTTCGAGGCAGGGTTTCTCTGTGTAACAGCCCTAGCTGTCCTGGAACTAACTCTTGTAGACTAGGCTGACCTCGAACTCACAGAAATCCTCCTGCCTCTGCCTCCCGAGAGCTGCGATTAAAGGTGTGCACTACCACCGCCCGGCTTGGACTTGAGTTTTGTGCATGGTGATAGATATGGATCTGTTTGCATTGTTCTACATGCTGACATCCAGTTAGACCAGCACCATTTGTTGAAGATGCTTTCTTTTTTCCATTGTATATCCCTGGCTGCCTCATCAAAAATCAGGTATCCATGGGTGTGTGGATTTATGTCTGGGTCTTGGATTTGATTCCATTGATCAGCAGGGAATGGCTGGTTTACAAGGAACCCTGGCACTCTACAGGGGACTCAGCTGTCATCCCAGGCCTTTCCATCCACTTGGGAGAAGTTGACTGTTTCTCCTTTTACTTTGTAGGGTTTGTTATCGCATGTGCTTTCTGCATTCAGATTTGACGTGAAAGAAGTTGCTCTTTTTACTGAAAGTCTCGGATATGAGCCTGTTGATTACTGTCCTAGCTTGCTTAAAAACGTGAGTATCTTGCGTTATTTGTGTTGAAATTCTCCCCAGATGTGTGAAGGGTAAATGGGACATTTCCTCTTACAGGGAATTGTTGCTCTGTGTCTTACCTGGGTAGACTTGCAACCCGGAAGGAAAATGTGAGGTGCTTCTCACAACACAGCTCACTCACCCGGTTTCTGAGAAGAGCACCCCTTAACCAGTATAAACATAGCCTGGACTTCTGAGCAGATGCCATGTGTAAAATAGTCCATTTGGATTTTATGTTAAAGCAAAGGAGACAATTAAAGGGCTGGCAGGATGGCCCAGCGGGTGAAAGTGCTTGCCATAAAGACATGGTGACTGAGTTTGATCCTCAGTTGCCCTCTGGCTTCCGTCCAGGTCCTGTGGCTTATGCTTCCACATATATTATACTCTCAAAATGAGATCTCTGGTGGCTCTTAGCCAGTTTGATGTTTTGGACGTCATACACTGAAAAATGCGTATAAAAGGGAACTAAAAAAGGAAAAAAAGAAGTAAACTCTAGTATTTTTTAATTTTCTGTGGGTCTGGTGTTAATTTTAGGATGTTAATGATATGTCTGTGCCCAGGCTTCTGTAGGACCTAGACATTCAATGTAGAGACCCACGTGGGTCACCCTGCAAAGTAAAACAAGGAGAGAATGGGGCGGAAGGTAAGGATGTGTCACTCAGCGAGAGAAATGGAGCTGAGGTAACCGTGTGTGGTGTGAGGTGACCTGCGTCTGATTTTGTTTTACAGATGGTTTTGTCATTAGTGTCTGAGCTCAGAGAGAGTCATCTTAATGGACTGGACACTCAGAGTCGGTAGGTGTTAAGCCAAACATCCCTCTACTCGAGTTTCAAAAGGTGTTGCTTGGTTATGAGAGAAAGGGTCACTGACTATCGGAAATGCATGTTCACGGCATACTTAGAGTCTGTGTGGGGAGACCATATTAGTGGGAACCTCTTGTAAATACTCTTTTTTAAATCACTGTTCTCCGCAGTCCCGGGGAAGGTAAGTGTGAAACGCCTGTGTTGTACGCACTAGGAGAAAGCCCTGCCTGTGCAGTGAGGAGCACAAAGGAAAATGAGCCTGAGGCTCCATGCACAGGGTGTGTGTGTGTGTGTGTGTGTGCGCGCGCGCGCGCAGGCTGTGCTCTTTTGCTTTACCCCACTCCCTCCCCGTGTGTGCTGAGGCGTACACTGTATACAAGATTGGGATGTTTACAAGGGAACAGATATTTTGATGTGCATATATTTAATATATGACTGACTTACCTTAAGAAACTCAATATTCTGGAATCTAGACTAAACAAATCAGATAGATCCAGAGAAATTAAAAGGCAGTTAATCACATCCCAGATGTTTCTTCACTCTGAACAGAGTTGGAACTGTTTTCGTTGGTGAGCACTGCATTTTTAACAGATCATTAACCAAAAGAATCTGGGCACTTGAGACATTTTGTTCACAAAACATTTAAAGCGCTTGCCAGCCAGAGCTCTATCAGCCTTCCTGAGTGCACTACCTGTAAACGCCACACCTATTGAAAAGGTTGTCAGAGATCCTGGCAACATTGGATTTTTCTCCCCTAGATATGGCACCAAAAGTATAGGCAACAAAGGAACTAGAGGTGGCTCAGCGTGTGAGTGCCTGCTCTGAGTCTGGTGACCTGAGATTAACCTCAGAGCCCATGAAGGCGGGAAGAGAGGAGCAGCGCCACAGAGTGGCCCTCTGATCTCACACGGCACTGTGGCACATGCCCTGCGACCCACACACCTTCTCAGATGTGATGCTTTTCCTCCTCCTCCTCGTCCTCCTCCTCCTCCTCATCATAGATTTTCTTTTGAGACAGGGTTTCTCTGTTTAGCTTTTGTGCCTGTCCTGGAACTCGCTCTGTAGGCCAGGCTGGCTGGGAACTCACAGAGATCCTTGAACTCTGCCTCCTGAGTGCTGAGCTTAAAGGTGTGCATCACCACCATCCAGCTAATAATAGATTTTCTAAAAGAAAAAATTGAACTTTATTGAAGTTAAGAATTTGGGAGCTTGGTATCTCAGTGATAGAACATTTGATTGGTATACCTAAGTGTTGGGGACTGTGGACCCCAGACCCTGAATTTCCTGTGACCCCCTGCCTGCCAGAGTAAACAACTTGTTTTCCAGTGTTTGCAGCTGCTCTGAGCACGAGACCCTCAGGAGTTCCTGATGTCCGGGGAGTGGTTTCTGGTGGGCTTGCAGCTGAGCGTTAGGGTGTGATCATTAGTAAAGGAGACCCTATATAAGCTGTCCTGGAAGACTATAAAGGGGGCATTTGAGGCATTCTTGGTGTTATCCCCCCACCCTCTGTGTGTGTGTGTGTGTGTTTCAATCTCCAGTTCCTTGCCTGACTCGCAAATCATGCCGTAGCGTGTAGAGCAAAGGCCCTTGGATCCAGCCCTTGAAACTGTAAAACGTTAACTTTTGTGAATCAAACAGTGCTACTAAGAGAACAAAATCAGAGTGAGCAAAAACTTTCATAAGGTTTTACTTTTTTTTGGTTTTTCAAGACAGTGTTTCTCTGTCTTGAAGATAGCCTTGGCTGTCTTGGAACTTGCTCTATACATCAGGCTTGCCTTGAACTCACAGAGATCCTCCTGCCTCTGCCTCCTGAGTGCTAGGATTAAAGACATGTACTACCACCACCCAGCCAAGTTTTAGTTTTAAACTTTAAACTTTCATAAGTTTTTTTTAAATCTCTTGAGATGGACATTGGCACATGCCTGTAATCCTTGGTAGTCTGAGGCACTCAGGTCATGAGTTTGAAGTTAGCTTGGACTTTTTGGGAGGGGGGGTGGGGAGTAGGTTGAGACAGGGTCTCACTTTGTAGACCAGGGCTACATAGTGAGACTTTGTCTAAAGAAATAAAAGCTCTTCCATAAAGAATCAGTGTCTGGGATTCTAGAGACTCTTTAACAACAGCAACAAGCACCCAGAACTGGGCAGATGCTAGACGCACCTCAGTTGTGGAGGTCTGGGTTCTAACATCTTATATGCACTAGACTCTGGGTTCAAACAAAGGAAAAGCAAAATTTTAAAAAACAAAACAGGCACAAGACTCAGTTTGAATAGACATTCTAGCAGAGAAATATATTTACCTGGTAAAATAGGCATGGCACACAATTATAATTCCACAACTGAGACTGGGAGTGTCATAGGGACCCTCTCTCTGAAAACTAAACAACAAAACACCTGGCTGTTACGCAAATGAAAATATTTGACACCACACCCACTAGGGAGCATGTAAACCACATGAAATATTGTTTAGTATCAATCATGATGGCTATAAAAGGAGAAAGGGAAAACCCCAAGTGTCATAAGGAGAAACTGGAGTCCTGTGTGTCACTGGTGGTCCTGTAAAATGGAGCAGCCACAGCGGGGAACAAATTGGTGTTTTCTAGAAGAAGTAAACAGTTACAGTGTGACACAGAAAACCCACTGCCAGGTGTATTTCTCTTCCTCTCCTTTCTTTTGATGTGATAAAATAGTCCGATCAGAAGCTACTCAGGGGAGAAAAGGGCTGATATGACTTCCAGGTCACGGTCTATCGCTAGGATGAAGTCAAGATAGGAACATAAACATGAAGCAGGAGCAGAGATTATGAAGGAACCCTGTTGATTGGCTCACTCTCAGGTTCCTGCGCATGGAGTGTGTTCTTGTGCATATTTCTATGCAGCCAGAACCACCTGCATAGGGATGGTGCTACCTACAGTAGGCTGGGCCCCTCATATCAATCAGCATCCAAGACATCTCTCACAGATATACATCCCTCCCCGCCCCCCGCTAGTCTGATTTAGTTAATCCTTAATTGGGACTCCTTCTCAGGCGACTTTAAGTTGTGTCAAGTTGAAGGTTAAAGTTAACTAGGAAATTGTTCTAAAATAATTAAAACAGGTGTGTGTATACTTGTTTTGTTCAGTAACCACAGTAAATAACCAAAATGTGTATATTTCATGGCGCATAAGTAAAAAGAAACAAGTTTTATGTATGTATTAGCACGAGTAGACCATGTAAAGATGCTTAGTAAAACCAGTCTAACACAGTAGCAAATATGTTCTTATTCCACTTACATGAAGTCCTACAATAGGTAGATTCATTGGGACAGAAGGCAGAGCAGAGATTGGGAGAGAAAAGGAAGTTATATTTAATGTGTTAGGGGCAGTGGAGACCTGTGCATAGTGTAATATGTACAGAGATATGTAATAGTGGTGCGCAGACAGTGTGTGAAAATATTTAGTGTTAGTCACTACCAATATGTGGCTAAGTGACAACTTATGTTTTACTGCAATTAGAAAACTAAAGGAAAAAAATCAAATATGCCACTGCACACTCCAAGTGTGTGACGTTTACAACATTCACTTTAATGTATTAGGTGTGGATCCCATACCCTGACCATGAGTGTGTGAACCAATACCACCTCATTGATAACACTGTGGTAGCTGATTACTGAGTGTGGCATACCCTGCAGAATGGCTCAGTGGGGCAAGAGCATTTGTGGCCTGAGCCCATCTCGGACCAGGACCAGGATGGACATGGCAGGGGTAAAATCAGATCGTTGCAGAAGAGACAAGTGAATGGAATGATAAGCATGGGAGGGATGGCATAGGCGTGATTGCAGAAGAACGGCAGAATTGTTCTGCCACTGCCTGTCTGGCACACACAGCCAAACCAGCTTGTCTCAGTACCAGAGGTTCTGCAGTACCGGATATAGACACCAGGGGGAGAAAAAGATCAAGACAGAGTACATTCTTTCTTCACTGCATGAAGTGAACATAGTTTAACTGGAGCTCAGAAGATTGTGTCCAGGATGCAGGAAGAACAAACTGTGTGCTGTTTGCAAGAGTCTCATCTTATAGGTTATTTTACTTTTATAATCATTTTTAGATATTTTAATCAGGTTTATTTTCTTTTAAAATTTGAGTGCATTTATTTATTTGATATAGTATTTTTTCTGCTCATATACTTTAGACCTGCTTAGATAGTGGCACAGAGATTATTTATATCTCATCATTTTTAAACTTTATTTTGACAAGGTCTCATGTATCCCAGGCTGGCCTCAAACTCTGTGTATAGCCAGGATGACCTTGCATTTGTCTCTATTCCCTGGTGTTAGGATGCCAGGTGTATACCACCGTGCTGGCTAATCTTATGTCAGCTTGGCACAAGCTGCAGTCACCTGAAGCCTCCATCAGATCCAGTTCTACGGTATTTTCTAAGTTAGTGATTGATGGGAAAAGGCTCAGCCATTGTGGGTGGTACTGGATTCTATAAGGAAGCAGATTGATCAAGGCTTAAGGAGCAAGCCAGTAAGCAACACTCCTTCATGGCTTCTGCATCAGCTCCTGCTGCCAGGTTCCTACCCTGTTTGAGTTCCTGTCCTCTTATTTGATGATGAACAGCAATATGGAAGTATAAGCCAAATAAATCCTTTCTTCCCCAATTTAATTTTTTGTCATGGTTCTTTGACACAGTAATATAAACCCTAACCTAGACAACCACCATACCCCGCTTATATGGTGCTGGAGGTGAAAGCCAGGGCTTTGTGCATGTAGGCAAGCACTCTGCCAACTGAACCACATCCTCAGCCGAGGACCCCACTTTAGCCATAGGGACATACAAAGACTGAAAATGAAAGAATGGTCGCACAAAGACAATGCAAGAAGCCACACACACACTATATATATCATGCAACTGTTGTAAAAGATAGAAGGATAAAAGGGTCAGGTTCACCAGAGATTTGTTATAAACATTTGTACTTAGATCAGGATGCCACAGATACAAAGCACACATTG